CTGAGTTGGTGCTGCTGTTAGTTGGTGTGATGAAGTTGGTGATGCGGATGCAGATGATGAAGAGGACGTTGATTGCGATGAAGAGGACGAAGAGGATGCTAGGCATCGATTCGATATCGCTGACTGTTTCGAGAGACTGATCGGTGACTGGATTGGTGCATGTGATTGTGATGATGGAGTCGGCAATTGTTTCTGGGGTGGATTCGAGCGCTGAGTTTGTGATAGATTCGATAGTTGGAGTGGTGATTGGTTTGGGNGACGTATGCGATGGATTTGTCGACAGGATTTGCGAAGGATGAGAGACGATTTGCTGAGATGACTGCTGCATTGAATAGGTGGTGGTGGTGCTTGGTTGTGGTGCGCGCTGTCCGATTATGGCACGAGGCATCGTCGTCGTCGTGGCTAAACACATTTGATATGAACACATTGTTGAAGTTTAATGAAGCACATCTTTGATAAGTCAGGAGTCGTTGATAAAACCGTTGATAAAACACCGATAGATGATGATAAGTCAGTGAATCGGCAGTGGTTTTAGTAAAAAACAGCTACGATAAAGGTAATAGTAATGGCGCTGCTACAGCAATCCATTCCGAGCAAAACTTCTTCCATAGAGCACCGAGCGAAAATTACTGGTACTGATACAAGACGGGCTCGAGTCCGGCTCTTGAGGAAAGTTCTGCTCGAAACCGATTGCCGTATCAATGATGTTATCACGCATGAACCAGATTTTGATTTAGCTTTCATCTATTCATGCTACTGATTATAACCACAACAATCATAACGATCAGCACGGCGATAACGATAGAAGAAGCAATGCTACTTGCTAATGGAATCATTAATGGTGTCTCATTAAGCTGAAGTATGAAAACAAGTTAAAATGGCAACAAAGATTGGGAAATAAGTCATCAGCAAGGCCTTTTATGAGCCTAGAACAATTACCTGCTGCTGCTGCTGCACCAGATGAATCGAAGGCTGCTCTCCAGACATTATCGCAAATCGAATTGAAACTGTTGCTATGATCATATTTATTGCTGTTCGGATCAGTGATACACATTATATCATTGTTCATATTACTAGCGATATTACTGAAGGTTTTTTGATAGTTTCCTTGAATTGCATTGCTCACACTATTTTGCATGGCATTATTAATATTATTACTATTATGATTGTTGCTATCATTAATATTCATATTACTGCTATTATTGATGTTATATTCAATTTTTTGAGTGATTTTCGGTTGTGGATTCAGCGTAGTTTGTGATGAAGCGATCGGTGACGGTTCAGAAGCAAGGAACGACGGTCCTTCGATATTCAGTTTCAGTAATTCCTGAAATTGGAAACAGTCAACTAAACGCTTGAATGAATGATAACTTTGGATGATCATTTGAATAATAACATCAACGAAGACGTTTCATATTGATCAATTGCTAACATTTTTGCCAGAAATTCCAAAAATTTGTACAGTATAAATGATACGTGAGCAACATGCAGGAACACATCAACGGGAATAACCTGAATTAAGTTGTATTCATGATCATCGTTGTTGTATGTGTCATTGCATGAGGACTGCTGCTGCTGTTGTTGTGTGAATGAAACATTAGGTGATTGATAAGGATTTGGTGTGGTTGTGCTTTGAGGATGAGAATTTGGAAGAATACAGCACGCCGCCGGAGAAGGCGATAGTTTCATTGAGTGGGCCGAATAGTCCGGAATCATCTCGTCTAGTGATGGTGGTGAGTTCCAGAAGGTGCCGTTGCTGCTCAGACAATTAACAAAATCACTATTGGTAGTCGAGGTGGTATTACGGATCGGTGAATTCGGTTGTAGGGGAGAGGCTTGTGAGTCGGACACCGAACGAACACTGTCTGCACAATCGCTTCGAGTTGAACTCTGAAAATTGCCGAACATTTGAGAATTTGATTGAAAAACTTTGGAAATTTGCTTGATTTCAATAATTAACGATTTTGTGTGTGTGTGGTATTGCATTCAGTGATAAACTGCAAAAAATCCGATTGAAATTTTCATAATCCATGAATTTTTTTACTGGAATTAATGACTAATCGTTATGGCTTCAGATATCACCATTGTTACTCAATTACTACCGTGACATTAGTACTATATCGCTTAAAATGATTGGCTGTTTCATTCGACTGCCACATTGTTACTGTTTTCCTCATCGTTTATTTTTACTGACAGCTATCATCACTCCTGTACAATTATTTTCATTTTCATTGTTGGTATCCTTCTTATTGTTAATATCGTTGTTGCATTATTTATTACTGTTATCATTATTGCTATTACTGTCGTCATTTTATCATTGTCATTATTATTCAATTAAATTTTTGTTTATTTCCCTTCAATAGCACAATTTGATCGTGCATTCAGTATATTTACAAACTCGCGAACTGGACTTCATTCGTTTAACATGCATCTCATGCTATTATTCGGTGTTGGTCAATGATGACCTCTTAAAACGATGTCAGCTCTTAAAATGCCGATGAATGTTGAATGATTAAGTTGCTATTAACCTCGATTAAACATTTCATTGAATTTTCGAAATTTCTCAAATAAATCTCCTAAAAATCCACATTAATCCTATTGTAAGTTCAGCTAAATTCCATGACAGGATTATGTCAAGCAGTCAAGTTTATCAATGGTATTTGCTGTGCAGATGAAGAATGACCCTCTTCAAATCGTGTCTGGCCTAGAAAATCGTCTACTTCCCCGTCCAATTCTAATGTTTCATTTTGGAATCAGTCAAATTATACTTACAATGAGCTCCAAATTCAAATCACAAAACCCTATCTGTTAATGAATGTTGACATAGTGATTTCTTTACAAAAACGATGAGTTGTTCGCTTATAAAGCCGAAGTCTAATTTCTTTTTTGAGTAACAGTAGCACCTAACTAAATACAACAGCAACAGTAAACGAACTCATGCAACAAAGTTTACCGAATTCGAAAGTGCAAAACTTCATAACCCAAAAACTTCTGCAATTCACATGTCCAAAAATTCTTGATTCGCTTGAATAATTTTAATTCTTAAATTCCTCAACACTGTATCTGTTCATGCGTATGCAAATAGAGCGATCTAATCGAAAATAAGTAAAGACTGATGATAGAATTGATGATCAAATTAAACGACGTGGGTAATTGAACAAGTCGACGAGGATTAAATGACTGACTTGGAATACGTTTTGTTTTTGTGCACCAGCTTTTGTTTAAGGAATTATTTTTATATGTTTTGTAGCACTTATGATGAAAGGTAGGTGGCCGATTTGTTCGCATTAATCATTTGAATTCAGTGGAATAAAAGCGATCATTCTAATGACTCTTCGAACATTTATCATTGGGGAATCATTGAAAGTTCAGCTGAATGCACATATTTCCTTTGAAGTTACTTTTGTACTTGTGAGATTGGTCAGCTGTTGCGATCAATCAATCAGTCAATCAGTCAATTAATCAGTTCACAATATTCTCAAAAAAAAATAAATAAAGAGCAAAAATTTATAACAGATTTTGATTAATGAATATAGTGTTTAATTAGTTTTCGATATATTTCGCATTTATTCATTTACGTACTTCGCTAGATGGTTATGAGGCGGAACTTACCAGGGAAACTAACTATTGTAAATACAAAAACGAATAAAAATGTAAAGAAATGTGAAAATAATCTCTTGAAAACGGTACAGAGAAATGGAAAAAAAGAAATTTTTTGACATTCAATCTACTGAGAACAATGATGATAAGGTTATGAATGGGTGAGGAGTATGAATGATTTCATATATTACAGTTGGATTTTAAAATGATAGTTTTGCATGATGCAATGTTTCGTTTTCATGTAAATAGTAATGTTGAAAAAGTGAAGAAAAATTCGCCGAAATATTCACTGGTGTGATGAATGAAGAGTATGCGCATGTGCCAGGCATGAACCACGGATAATGATTCAATTGCGCAATTTTTGTGGAATTCTTTTTCGTTCCATGTTTTTCGTTTCGTTCATTTTTGTGTTCATATGATACACAATACAACTTTGAATACGTCAAAATATTACAATTCATATGATTTTAGACTGAACTTCAACTTGAAATATTGAACTCATAAAAAAAAGTTAGTCGCTGCAGTACCAGTTACATCAAGGTACTCTAAATGCGTGTCACAGATACAGCACCAATAATAATAGTATCAGATCTACGAAGATCTTTACATCTTAACCTTAATCTCATGCGATGTTACTGCAGTCACGAGACTTGAACGGGAACTTTTTTGAGCCAGTTGCCTAACTTATCATTACGGAATGTTGAATGTCAGTTTTTCAGTGTATCCATTTGAGTGGTTTGTGAATGTGAGAATGTGCGGATGTGTGAAGTTCGAATGAACAAACGAAATTCACAAACTAAAAACCATCTCAACACAGCAACAATAGACAGTTTGCCGTCTTCAGTACTGAACGAATTGAGGAGCACTTTTTCATTTTTTTTTTGGAGACAAGAAAACGTTCTTCAGATGGCCGCCGAAACATAACAGATTCAAAAATCAGATCGTTATATGATTAAATATGATCAAAAAGATCAGATCGATACTTGTGTGCATAATTTCAGTTAAGTAAACGCATCGAATTTTTTTGATGCTCTTTTTCAAATAAATTGCTGAATAATGAATCAAAAGTCAAAAATTTGACATTGAATTCGCTTCGTTCACGTGCGTATTTGTTTGAAAATGTCATGTGAATGCAAGGAATAATTTTTTGATGATGCCACAGCAGATGCATGTGAATGAAGAACACAAGAAGGAGAACGCCAAGAAGACCTTGAACAGAACCAATTTTAAACGCCGATTCGTTTTTTTCTTCACTTGATTCATCGACATTTTCGAATTTAAACGACACTTTATGTTAGCGTCATTCGTGGCTCATCATCACCAATGATAATGTCAACAGCAATCGAACAGTTAATCTCCTCATCACTTCATTCAAAACTATTAATGGACTCTTTGAGTGCTTTATGTTTTTAAATTTGCACCGATTTTCGACGAACTCCGATTGCAGCAACGACGACAAAACAACGATTGTATCACCTCATGACTGCTGCATTCGTATTTCAATTATGAATTTGAGATGGCAATCAAAAATGAGCACAACTAGGTCAATGGGTAAATAGCTCAAAGTTCAATAAAATAAATAAGAAGACACTAACTGGAACTGCTGAATCTATGACGTTCGGTTCACTCAACTACTCAAAAAAATGCAGAATTGCTTTTGCAGAATTGGACGGTGAAATCAATTTGAACAGTGCAAATGTACCCAATATATTTCGAACAAACTACGAGAAATGTTCATGCCATAGTGATGAGGAAAGAACGCTGAATTTAAAAACAAATAATTTTTCGGCTTACTGAACTGAATTGTTTCGTTTTACTGCAACTATAAATTGTCATAAAACTTTCGCAGAAGAAAAAACTTTCGGAGATTTTAGACTGGTGGAAGGGCTGAGGAAAAAGCCGATAGAAAGTTGTGAAACGATTCATTTATGTGCTATTTATTGCTAGAGCACACAATATCTTACTGTTGTTTATGATAATAATTGCTAACTACACATCACGGCACTTATTCTTCGGTTATCTTTTTCATAAGATTCTCGTATCATTATTCATCATTTATGAACACTGTTATTATTATTATCATTATTATTATTATTTATTATTATTATTGTTATTATTATTGTTATTATTATT